CCACCTGGTCCGAAGCCACCAGTTCCAGCTCCACCTGGTCCGAAGCCACCTGGTCCAGTCCCAGTACCACTTGGTCCAAAACTAGGACCACCTCTGGCGCCTCCTCCTGTTCCTCCTACCCCCGGCCCTGTCAGACCTGCCGAGAATTGTGTAAAAAAGTGTATTTAATTAATGGTGTATTTGAGCTCATGGTGAAAGTATGTCTTTTCGTGTCTGTATATTAACATTGTTTAATTTTTATTTTTACCTGTTCCAAATCCAGGACCTACTCCTGTTCCAGCTCCGGCTCCATATCCAGCTCCTACTCCTGTTCCTCCTTGACCAGTAGCACCTGCTCCAGCTCCAGCTGCACCTAGATGAAAACCAGTAAATGTTGGTTACAATGTAGATCAATGAAGTTGGTTAGTTTATCATCTGCAATCATCAAGTTTACCATATTTAGCTGCAAGTTTTGCTGGATTCTTTGATTTGCCTGATCCTAAATTTGAGCAGATAAATAATTAAATGAACATACTTTTTCACATTCATTATATGATGCATGTTTGGTTCCATACAGCAGTAGGGGTTACTGTGTTTCCAGTTGCCCTGTACCTGCTTTTGGTGATATGAGAGGGTAACCACGTAAAACTCCTGGCAATTGCTGTCCTTGACCATCTGAGGAGAAATATACAAATTATTATTCTCTACTATCTCATAAGCATGGTATAGATTGTTATCATTGTTACAGCTTTTACTAACTTGTTCCTCCTCCTCCTCCCGCTCCTCCTGGTCTGGTACCACCCTGGCCAAGTTCCCCAGCCCCTGCAAAGATTTTTAATTTTAGGAATTTGCACCAAATGTGTGGGCATGTTATATTCCAACATTGGTAACATTAAATGCAATAACAAACCAGACTGAGGACCAAGTCCGGTTCCAGTGGCCACTCCAGGAAGAATACCCCGGCCTCCAAAACCTAGTGAGAGAGATGCAGTTTAAAAAATGTCCAGGTTTTCACTGAAAGTACTGTTTATATTTTAACTGTGTGTTCTTTGTTAAAATATACCTTGACCAGGTACAAATCCACCTTGATAGAGACCAGGCACACCAATCCCTATGGGGCATTAAAGGGAATAAAAAGATCATGGAAGACATAGTTGTAACTAAACAAAAGGGAAAACATGCTCCCAGTTTTGCTTTTACCTGGAACCTGTTTGGATGCTTTATTGCCACTTTTCCCTCCAGGTCCTCCTCCAGTAGCACCTGTCTGCGGAAGAACTGGGGCTGAAACCAGAATTATCACCCTTAGCATATTATCATTGCATAGTTTTTACATTCTACCTGATCGTTCTTGTAAAAATGTATCTCTGTGACAATGCATTGGTATTTTGTATACTGAATAAGTAAAATGTTAATCATTATCTACCTCCACCAGGTCCGGTACCACCAGGTCCATATCCTGCACCGCCAGGTCCAGTTCCAGCACCACCAGGACCAAATCCTGTGCCGATTTGATGTGTTATAAACTGCAAACTTTTATTTTCTTTGACTTCACACAACGAATAAATGTGACGTCACTTTCCTGAGACCAATCATGTTGACCATATAGAACCGCTCCTAGCTCTGGAGGCCACGCCCACATTCCATCTCCTGGCCTCTGGCAGGTACACGAGAAACCGCACCACCAGGACCAAAGCCTGTGCCACTAGGTCCAATTCCTGCACCACCAGGACCAAATCCTGTGCCACAGTAAAAAAAATGTAAATGTTTTTTTTTTTTAATTGCACCGATGCAAGTGAAATGAAACCATGCAGTGTGAGTTCATACTTGATTTGGGAGGTTTAGGACCAGTACCACCTGCTCCTGTGTACTGACCACCACCGCCTGGTCCATATCCACCTCCATAGCCTCCATAACCACCTGTAAGAAAAGGCTTAGGTTATCACTAATAGGTTCACATTTGTGCAGTTATTCCTAAAAGTAATCACTATAAATGGAATGTGAAAAATGCTTTGAACTTTTTACTTGGTATCTCTCATTAAAATAAATAAACATGAAAAGTGTAGAGACCACTGACCTCCAGGTCCGTAGCTTGATCCAGCACCCTGACCTGTGCCAGCCCCTTGGCCACCTCCACCCAAACCTCCTGCCCCAAGGCTCCCAAGTCCTAATAGTCACATGAAAGAGAAACAGCCCTCAGTGATTTGTTCTGGCTCCAGTGTCTGTGATACACAGCATTACATAGTAATCAATTCAGTATGTTCTCTGCTGCTCCACCCATGTGTAACTTGATACACATTTTCCTAAAGAAATCTGAACGCACTCGATCTGTAGAATAATTCTGATCGATCGGTAGAACTGCTGTTGTTCGGCTTTGTTCGTGTGTTTGAAACTATGTTCAGCTTTGGCTGTTGATGTGCCGTTTACAAGTATACAACTAGAAACTGAGGGCTCTGTATAGTAAAATCTGGGTTTTGACTGGTGCACATTTTTTATTATAACAAAAAACAACAACATAAGCCGACAACATAAAATGTAATGTGATTCTGTTTAGGCCTGTATTTTACACTGTATGGAGTTCAGGAAGAACTGGTTGTGAAGTATCATCATTACAACATGCTCTGTAAAAATATGGTGATTTAACATTGTGACCTTCAGAGAGAAGACCTGCTTCTAATTTAGATAAAAGGGCCTGATTGTGAGGTCACACAATCTGCAACAGTCTGCTGACTTACTCTATAGTTAGGTTTGTAAGGTTTAATGAGATCTTTTGAACCACAGTCCGTTCAGACATCAGCTGTGTGGTTTGGTAAATAAGGACCTTTGCGTGTTATTCTCGCAGGTCGAGGCAGAACAACACAAACACCCTCTGTGGGATTTTGTGTAGTCTAGTGTACTTGTGTGTGCTGGTGGGGGCCAGACTTTTAGTAAACTGGAAAGTGTGAAACACAGGACGAGTCTCTTCTCTGCACCGACCCACCCAGTATATGCACACCAATATAATGAGGGGGTTTACACTCAGAATATAGATATCATCACTAACCATTCCTACACTGCTTTAGTTAGCTGAAATTGACATATGCCAAACAAAGAGAACTAATATTCCAAAGGAAATCAGTCTTCTGACTGACTCTGGTGACTCTCTCCCTCTTCCTTCCCCTATACAGCATATGGTCATGTCAAAGAGAAGCTTTAAAGAATGAGGAAATGGAATAATGGCTACTGCCCTTGGAGAACTTATCTCACGGCAGAACAATATTTACAGTAAAGGGGCTGAACACCGATCTGTGATTATGGACATGATTATGACATCCTGGAATTATGTTTTTCTGTCCAAACTAAACAGAGAATGGCAGAACTTACACATGTTAGTTCGTGTACCTCATTGTGGCATTGATAAGATTAAAATGGCATTCTATCGGCAGTATAATGAATTCATACTATCAATGTTTCTGAAAGTGCTCGGGAAGCTCCTGAACAAACGTTCTTGCCAACGGGTGGCAGTAATTAACCTAGAAAAAGCCATTAAAGCCATAGAAGAAGAACTTAGGTAAGTTTGCTGTATCGTGTAACTTTTTTGGGCTGTAGAACACAAAGTTTGTTCAGTTAGTCCAAAGTAAAAATGTAATGTTTTTGCAGAAATATTTTGACTGATTACAGCCTAAAGTCGTTTAAGCCTGCAGGACTGGATGAGTTATGTTATGTTTGTAAAGGTGACGTGATACTTTCTAGTTTGCCAACAATATAAATATATCACACAGGAGCAAAAAAAACTTATGCCATTGCCTTGTCCACTTGGACTGACTCCTCCAGGCCTAGTTCCATATCCGCCAGATCCAGTACCACCTGGTCCAGTACCACCTGGTCCAAAACCACCCAAGCCCTGTCCTCCTCCTATGCCTCCAGGACCCTGACCTCCCCCAAATCCTCCTGCTATTCCAGCACGTCCACCATAGCCTGCTCAAGGAGAAAAAAAATACAGATATACTTAAGTACTTTGAGGTTTGTTTGCAGGTTTTACAACATAAAATATTTGCTTGTGTCTCAAGTACACAATCTTAACTCTTAATACCACCTAGCCCAAAAGCCTTACTTGTTTTTGGAGGCTTCCCACCTGTAAAAAGAAAGGAATCATGACAATTAAAACAACAAGAAGAGTGGAAAAATAAATGACACCTATATTAAGTATTAACCTTACCAGCTCCACCACCTCCAGGTACCACTCCTAGTCCACCTGGACCAAATGCACTGGGTCCCAAACCTCCAGGTCCAACACCTCCTGGTCCAAACCCGCCTGTCCCAGCTCCTGGTCCGACTCCTCCTGGTCCAATCCCACCAAGTCCTTGTCCACCTGGTCCAGCTCCTCCTGGTCCTTGACCTCCATAGCCCACTTAAAAATAAAGTAAACTCGACAGTGTCACCATTTGCATCCACTCAGGCAAAATGTCTACCCATAAAAAAGCTTATAAATATATTTAAAGTAAAAACATCAGCAATGAGGATACATGTTTTATCCTTAGTGGATGTCACCACACAGTTCTTAATATTTTATAGGAAAAACTCTCTGTTAGACTTCTCTAAGCTGGAACTTCACCAATGAGTGATGTCACACTGTGAGTCTGAGTTATGGTGTTAATATACGTGAAGGCAGAGATTTATGTTTGTTAGGGTTTTGTTTTATGACTACATATATATCTGAAGGTGTTCTTCTTATATAATATTTAATCACCTCCTGCAGATCCTGGTCCATAACCTCCAAGACCAGCACCAGCTCCTCCTGGTCCAGCTCCTCCGCTTGTCTGAAATCCAGTCCCAGGTCCTCCAAAACCTGTTCCACTCCCACCTGGTCCAAATCCAGTCCCAGGTCCTGCACCAGTGCCTACTCCAGCTCCAGCTCCTCCACCAGCACCGACAGGTACATAAACGCCTGATACACAGAATCAGTCCACCAAAAATAATGTTTAGTAGCAACTAATTAATAATAACTCACTTTTACATTTATTTATTTTAAGGACATATCTAAACACTAAGGGTGTTTGTGTTTACTTGTCATTTGTTTTTTTTTTAAAAAAGGCATAAAAGGGACACTGCAGTTCCATTAAAAAACCACTAACTGAAGACAGAATGTGTGGAATTTCTGAGTCATCAGTAAAGACTAATGAGGCATAATTTTCTTTTTTCACCAGGTAATAAACCCATTTGTTTATCTAAATAGAGAGGGTTACACACAACAAGTACGACCGGTTGCCACACAAGCAGAGAAGTTGTGATGCTCAGCTTTGACTTTCTCTGCCTTTGATAATGAACAGCGCCTCATCCAAAAGGCATGACTCTTTGGTCATTATTCTCACACTTTTCTGCACCTATACCCTGTTTGGCAAAACACCACAGCCAAGAATAGAAACATGGAGCACAAACAGCTATAAAAGGAAAAAGAGTGTGTAAGATCTTGCAGCCAGGATGTGAAACCAAAGAGGTCTGTAGGGATTTCTAAAGAATGTGTGTTACTGATCTCACAGTGTTGCCATGTACAGCACACGAACAACCCAGAGTAAATAATTTAACTCTCTCTCTTCTTTTCACTCTACGACTCTTGATCCTGCAGGGTGGAATGTTTCCCTCATCCTTAGAACGGGACTTAAAACTATATATAATGGGAGGAAAGGAAGATTTATATTGATTTTGCTTGTTTGTTTCCTTTGTTTACAATGTCATGGTGTAAAAGCTGCTGCTACATTGGTACACTTGATTTCTGTAAGTTAAGACATCCCCATTCATCAGGTCTCAACACAGTAACGTATGTGTATAGGCATAAACACTGACATAGACACTCACTGTTTCTTAAATGGTAAAAACTCTTGCTTAGAGGACAGTGAGAACATCAACAGATTTTGCAATTTTTTTCTTTGAGTCCAGGTGCACTGCTTCAAATATAAAATGTCCTTGTTTCAGGACGGCCAGACCAAACCTGCTCTCACATGATTTTGTCTGTTTCTCTCTCTCCAGCCTTTCACTGTCTCCTCCCACTGTTTGGTTGTTCCCTGACCTCACCTTCTGTCTTAAACATTCAACTATTACTGTTTTAGTGGATACACTGGGGCTAATAAATTGCATGTCCACAGCTGAATGGTCAAAAGAATTAGAGAACCATTGACACCCGAGTAGTAATAACATTAATTAATTCAAACCAAGAAATATGCACAAAAGAATTTGTGATGATGAGACTCTGTCCTCTGTGTTTTTCAGCCTGATCTTGCATAAATTCAAGTGACAACAACGTAACGTTGTGTTGAAACAGGAGAAGAGGTTAAACAGAATCAGGAGGCAATGTCACTAAATCTGACTGGAATAAGAATCTGCAAAGGAACTAAGGACGTAAGTTTAAGTTGGATTCCATTTCTTCTGTAAAAGCAGTTGAAACATGTCCATCACAGGCCACGTCTTTTTAACTCTACAGTTAGAGTTACAGTTTATTTACATATTTGTCGTCAGAGACTTTTGTTTTTAACTTGCCTCAGCCATCCTCTGTTCTAGTCTCAGGGATCATTATACCCACTAACATAACCTGTAATGAATCACCAAACCAACCGTTCTCCCTGCTCTGCTTCCTGATGGACAGGTGCTGCACAGCTGCACAAAAGGCAATTAATAAGGGACCCACCTCCTTCAAGTGATGGTTTCCACAGAGCCAGGAGAAGGACTCCATGTAGGTACGTGGCCACTGTCCCTCTCGCCATCTTGCTCCTAAATGTCCCTCTCCTCTCCAAAGCTCCAGGTTTTATCCCCAGCAAGACTATCAGGGCTTAACAAGGCCTTTGGAAAGAAGGAGGGAAAATGAAAAAAGGGGGGGAGGTGGGGGCACACGATCCAAGACAGTACAGAGTGTAATTGGCTAAGAAACATGTAGAGAATGATCGACAAGGAGAGAGGAGGAGAAGCAAAACAAGCACAATGGATCACCTCATTATACCAAATATTCTTTTTCCACCCCCCCTGAACCCCCATGACTGTTACACTGCTTTCATTTAAATGGTTTACTGCCAAAAAAGGGGAATCTGAAAGGTGGGTTGGGAGAGAAATCTGAGAGCAAGGGGAGTACGTAGAAGAGATGCACTAGTGTGGGACTTGTAAAACTTGGGGTTCCCCTCCTCTCTGTTGCTCAAGACACCTTTGTAAGTGTAAGGGAATGGTGCCAGAGGTTTCTTATAATTTCCAAACAGACCTGAATAAAAACCAAACATGAGCTGCAGTGACTCAGTCAGACCACTGTCACTGATGTTTGACACCTTTTTATTAATTGCAGCTTTAAAATGTATGCACCAATGAAATCATGGTGATAACGTAAAATCCTGCGAGACGTTTGCGTGTATCTAATGATGAAGATAGATGATAGACAGAGACATAAACAATGGTGGCTGCAGCAGCCTGTTGTGTGCAGTCTGTGTGTGTAGAGGACAGAGAGAACATAGAAAGGGGGCAGATACTTTGGCACACATTAAATCACCAAGGGGGTAGATGTAGCTTGGCACAAATCGGAGTTTGTTTCTAATAAAAAAATTAAGTTATCTCACTGGAGGCAATGCAAGCCTACATTCTCTCCCTGGTCAAATAAAAGAAAACCAGAAACAAGTGAATCACCGTGACCTTGAAGCATCATCAACATGGGTGAGGCGAATGTTTGCAGGAGAGAAAACACCAGAGAGTCACCAACAATGAATAGACTGTAGAAAAATTTAAAAAAATAAAATTTAAAAAAAAGGAATGTATGACAAACTAGAAATATGTAAGAGCTGGGATCAATAATATTTTTTTTTTACACAAAAGTTGCATAACAGTGAAAGCTTTCATTTTGCTCTTCACATTCAAACCTCAGCAGACATCCACATACACACCAATCAGCCTACCTGGAAGCAATCACTGTTATCGTTTGGACTTGTACTTTTTCTGGGATTTCTCTCCATGTTAGGGATGAATGGTTCTGTCCCAACTCCTGAGGGTCCATGTCTGTGTCTGGCAACACTGAAACATTTTCTTTGTTTGTTGGTAATGGGCCTGGAAACGGATGAAGTAAATGAGCTAATAACAGTAGAACACTCGATGCGGATGGGAGGCTGAGGACAGGAGGAATCTAGGAGGGAGCCATGCGTGCTCATCCCCTGTCAGAGAAATGTATTTTTATAGTTGATGTGCGGACGATAAACCATTTACTTCCCCCTAGTGCAAAATCTGATCATCAATTACCTTATTATCCCATGTAGCTCCAACATCCCTGGGCTCATGCCCCCTCTGGAGAAAGTTAAACAGAGCTGGAAGTGTCCAGAAAAAGTGATCTCACTATCTTAGTCACTTTTCCTAAGCTGTTTTCTCCAGTCTTGCTGACATAAGACTTTAACATGAAGTGATGTTGACGGCTAAAGAAGCAGAGGTAGAATCTGACTGGGCCCAACTGCCTTTGAGACTGAAGTTTCTGATGTTTATTGATTTGTCTGGATGGATCAAGTCAAAAACAAGTGAATTCAATTCAGGCTGCCTATTTACATCTCTTTGTAGGACAAAAAGAAAGAGGGAGGCAGTGCTACCTGAGCACCCATAATAGGTCTTAAAGTGCACTTTATTGCTTTGTGTTGGGATTTGATGAAACTACATAGTTATGTAGTGAAATAATCTCTGAGCGAACACACTGAAAAAGGGAAGGGTCAAACAAAAACTATATGTTAACTGATGTGGACTCTTAATGCTTGTGGACATAATAATGGACTCTGTGAAGCTGAATTTTCAGGTGTACTTTTGCACTTTTTAATACATATTTTGGCATCATTCCATGTTGATAATTCCATCATTTGGATTTGTGACAGATAGATTCAGGTGTGAAACATACCTGCTGAAATATCATATTTAGGAATGTTGATTTATCTTGATTAATCGTGATTAATCAATGTAAAATTTTAAGTCATGATTAACCATAATTAATTTTGCGACTTTCATTGCTTGACCCCCATTTATGAAATTTAACCATAATAATAACATTGCTTAATGAAGGGACATAATTGATTTTTTTTGGACGTTACAGTTCTTTATTGTCTTTATTGAAGAATGCCTTGTTTTACCAGTGACCACACTCAGTGTCTGATTTAGACCAGTCTCATTGTTCTGTTATAAAATGTTGCCAGGCTTTTCTATTGATAAAAATATAACTTTTTATTAGATAAAGTGGTTCTCGTTCCTTCAGTCTGACATTTGAGGCCAGTTGTTAAACCAAACAGCCAGGTTTCACACATCATCTCACAGTGAGAGCAGTCAAAAGAACCTAAATTGTTTATTTATTCTGAGCAAAAGTTTCCCGTACGGTCACGTCCCCTGTGTTGTCATTAGTTCACTGACATCTGTGCGTGCACACACAGCAAGACGCATTAACTCAGCTTATTTCAGTTGTTTTGCATGCTGCCCGTGGGTTTGTGTAGGCACTAATCCAAATTCCACAACTCCATGCAAGTGGATTGAGATGTATACAGTCCATGTATAAATAGCTGTATGACTCTGACCCACCGTTATTGTTTCAGCTTAAAACAGTGGCCACTATTAAAGTAAAACCTTCCCCAAACTAGCCTTACGTTCAGTAAGTACTTTCCCTTATTCTGTTTTGTATAACATCTCGATGAACTACAAACACCTGTCGTCACTGACTTCATCTACAGCAGAAGTTATGATCTGCAAAGAGAGAGAGAGTATTAATGGAATCCTTAAACGTGTAGATCGTGACAAATGTCTTTTAAGTCATTATATATGTGGCACAACAGTTATATTTCATAGAATGTGGCACAGCTCTGAACTGAATAAATATGATACAGTAAATGAGCCCAGTGGAAAAATTAAATGTCAAAATACCACTCACTTAATGTACAAGGAGGTGTATTATGGTTACAGTACTTCTACTTCTACTTTTCTACTACCTTTACTTTAAGACACAACTCCAGGTCCAATATGATGCATACAGAAGGCAGTGTTGTGTGATAAGTCTTTTTTTTTTGTTTGAAGAAGGAAGAGAATAAGGAAACATCCTGTAGTTGAAAAAAGGTGTGTGTACGAGGCTGCTGGGATGTTTTGGTGTTTCCACAATGGGAAATCTTATTAGGAGGGATGAAACTATAAAGGAAGAAGAAAAGGGAGAAGAAAACCTCAAACAGCCATCAGTTGAGCTGGGTTTTGGCTGCCCTTTGTCTTGCTAACATGATAATGACCTAAGGGATACTTAAATGGTAAACAACTGTTTCAGTAGACCGTCTTCACAAAGCCTTGAAATGAAAGGCCACAGAAAGGCAGGTTTTCAATACATATATCACCAGTCCATGAGTCATCAACATACAGATGCACAAAAAAGAGAAATCGGTCTAAACGGTGGAAGGGTGGTTAGCTTACTGCTGGACCTGGTTAATTGTAAACTCTAAGTTAACAACATGTATCAGTGTAAGTTTGAAGGGTTGCTTGTTTCTGTATGCGGCGCTTTGATGACTGCTAGCATTGGCTCCGGTCCACGTCTACCATGACAAGTAAGCATTAGAAAATGAATGATTAAATGAATAAAGAAGACGAATCACTGTAATTGAATATGTTTTTGCCACAGCTAACAGTTAGCCCGCATTGTGATTTGGCATTATGTCCAAACTGAATTATTCCACCTAGAACCAAGAGTAGAAATTTCCAGACTGACCCCATGGACAACAACAGGTTCCTGGCAGTAGCTGAACCTGGAGCTCTACTGCATGGTCGTAGAGAATCGCACCATTTTTATATTGTTATTATTGTTATCACACTAGCTGTAAAATAATATTTCACTGTAGTTACTGTGGAAATATGCAGGCATGACTTCATGTTGTCTGCATTTCGCCTGTGTAATCCAGCCATAAATTAAAACACTCAAAATGGCTAGAGCCATGAAGACTTCTCTGCCAACATTTTTTTACAAAATGTTAAGGAAGGATTATTCTAAAAATGACTGCAGTTGCCGGTGCAGTAATGTGTGCAAATATTTGATTAATATTCAACTTGACAGTTAAACACACACACACACACACACACACACCTCTCATGCACCTGCCGTCTCCTTCCCACATCCATCCCAACAGCCTGGAAAGCCATGTGCTCACGTCTCTGCCAGCTGAGGGAAGCATACGAGCGTTACACATAAAGTTGTTGAGTGAGTAGTGCATGATGGGAGTTTACCTAACGTCTACCTCGCATTTACCTAACGTCTGCTGCCCTTATAAGGGCGTGTTCGAACTGGAGCACTGCTCACCCCCCTCCAGTCTGGTCATCTACCCCTCGGGGTGTCAGGATGAAGGAAGCGAAGTGATAGAGAGGGAAGGGAGGAAGAACGGCAGAAAGGGAGAAAGGGTGGGAGGCAGAAAAGGCGTGACCCAGACAGACAGAAAAACAGATGGACGTGCACACTCAGACGTGCACTTGTTGCGACTTGATAAATGGAATGGAGTGCTGGTGAATGTCAGCGTACCGGTCTGGGTTAGATCGACTCTTACTGCTGACCCGTGCCAAGGGATTACATCTCCACATTTAATGGCATGACCACATACCCTACGCCTGCTCTCGCCGTCACACCCTTCACACATCGCTGACCATGAACATGATTAAGCTTTCTCTTTAAAGATGTGTGATGTGAAAGGGTTTGTCACTTCCCTATTAATCATTATAAGAAAGTTAAATTACAGCCAAGCTGTCTGACCCTGGGTTCATGCAGACCTTCTTTACTTTTGCCCCGAGTGAATATCTTTGACCAAGATCGCATTATTTTTTGCATTTTTCCTATCATTAACTCATATCCTTCAAAAATGCATTTAAAACTGAAACATGGACGAAACACATGTTCTTCAGAAGCTGATTTTGTTCTGCTCACAGATGGATTTTGTTGTCCAACTGAGCAACACCCGAGTGAAACACACTCCTTCGGTTCAGATTAACATGGTGAGGATAATGATTTGACTGGTGTTTATGGTACTAATGTTTAATATGATGATGTCATGCCCCGCAGGTACAACAGTCAAAGTTCTTTTCAGGATAACGTCCTGAAGACAGGAAATAAACATCCTCATTATTTTAATTAATATGAGGGACATTTTAGAAAGTCGATCTGATCATGTTTATGATCTAAGCTGATCAGCAGAGGGAGATAGAACAACTTTTGGGACACTGGCTCAGCCCTGCAGGGCATCTGATCCTCAGTCTGCTCACCTCATGTTTACGGAAGAAAAGCAAAGCTCTCAGATGTGTTGCTGCGGAATGTGGATGTGTACCATGTGTAAAGCAGGCGCAGAGGGTTCTGCAGTGTGGCACTGACAGGGATGACATGGATGCTTTAGAAGTGACTCAAGTTTAGAGGAGTTGGAAAAAAAACACACACCCGTAAACAAAGAAATTGGATGCACCAATTATTAGCGATCCCACCTGGGGCGGACCACTTAAACTGATGACATTAACGTTTGCTTAAGTGGCTTATTTAAGTCATTAAGGTGGTATTAGATCATAATAGAAACAGCTGACATAAATGCTCGCAGACAAAAGAGATTATGCACATAAACACAGAACAAGACAAAGGAAAATAGGGACAGTCACACGTTGTATACCACAGAATGCAGTGGAGACGTGTGACGTCAGCTGCTGTACCATGTCACCTGTTATTAACAGGCCCCTTCCCATGAGTCATTATGAGCCTCAGCAGGGAGAGGGGAGGCTTCCCCTCCCACAAGGGTTGAATCAACACCAAGTCAAGCTCAGCCCAGCACCGTGACATACACAGAGGTCACTATAAGTAACTAATGGTGGAACTGAAAGATAGGGAACACTGGAAACAGCTGGTTCAGGAGGTCACGGAGCCAGAAGTGACGGGCCAGAACACTTGGTGTGTGAGAGACTAGCAGCAGTGTCCTACACCACGCTACATCAGCCGTGAATGCTGACGTTCATTCATCCATCTTATGCTTGGTCTTTTAATGCCCCAGTGGGAGCTGGAGCCGATCCCGTCTGAGCAGCTGACGTCAGGTTAAAGGTGGGGAAGTTTACGAATAGTTCGTCCTCCGTTCAAACATACGGAGACGCAAAACATTCGCACTAACATTCACACCTATGGTCAATAAACATTATACCCATGTGCACGTTTCACGGTGTGCTTGGTGGGTATATAAAAGTCAGGCTTTGATCTGCGGCTGTGTGTGTGTGTGTGTGTGTGTGTTTACGATGTCAGAGCGAGCCTGGCATAATGTGAAGCACTGACCTCATCATTCCTCTTATTTCAGTCTGCCTGATATTTCAATGCAAAACATCTGAAGGAGACAGAAACCACACACATTCACACACACACACACACACACACACAGGTCTTATTAGGACTCCACATTGACTGAAGTTCACTAGAACAGCCGCAGCAGAACCTTGTTCCTGACCGTTGTCTATAATTCATATATTTAACCTGACCTGTGAGATGCGGCCTTTTTACCAGGCACCCGAGACATCGGGACGCCAAAGTATTGTAATTACCGTTTGGGCGTGTGTGTCTGGATGACTGCCTGTACCAGTTTGCAGTACTTGTTGTACAAAGGTGCTCTGTCACTGGTGTATTTTTAAGAGATTACAACATGTTAATCGTTGTTCATTTGGCTATTGTTCTCTCTTTTAAAAAAAAGGTAACAATTACTGAAATTGTTCTAAAATTGCTTTTAAACTCTTGAAAAAACACACCTTGTTTTAACTCACAACCTATATTTACTTGATTTCTTCTTTTCTCTTTTTTTTCAAATGTCTATTAGACCTGTGGTTTGTAGCTCTAGCTGAACAGAGGATCTACATGTTTGGTGACTGTAAATCTGACTTTGAAACCTGACTTTAACTGAGCCTCAGTTCACCTCATTCCTTGTAGGGACGTACGACAACATTAGTTGTTGTTGTATTTGTAAAAATGCTATCTTAGAAAAAAAACTAAAGAAACCTGTGGCTGAACATCACAAGATACTTGTTTGTTACCATCTATATTTCTAATATCGTGATAAGGTACAGAGAAATCCCTGTGTTTAAAGATCCAAGATAGAAAGCTCTGCTAAATGTGTGTGACCTTTGAGCCCTGGGCCTTAGAGTGTGGAGCTTTGTCTCTGATTTGATATGGAAGTTCAGATTTGCTTTTACCTGTTTGTTTTTTTTATTAATTGCAAAGCCACTCACAACTGAAAGACTTGCAAAAAACACCATCGATATATGCCAGTGGTGCCCAACCAACGGGCCGCGGACCGTCACCGGTCCGTGGGTCAATTAGTTTAACCGGCCTATGGCGCAAAAAAGGTTGGGCACCGCTAATATATGTGATTCAGAACTTGTGTTTGAGAACAGAGAACCGAAGAGTAAACTTCAGTTCGCAAACTTACATAAGTTCGTGTTCAAGGGCGTCATTGGTGTCACATGAGTTCCGACAGATTTGTGCAGAGCCAGTAATAAGGAAATACTACGCAGTGTTATTTCAAGTCTACATTTTTTGGCTGAAAAATCTGGTCAATACTGGTTTTTGTCATGAACTTTAAACACAACAAGTAAGAACTGGTGTTTCCAAGATCAAATTGGATGATGATGAAATCTGTTCATTTTAGGACCTCCGCTGCATGGTATCTACTCCCAACCAGTGTTATGCAAATTAGGAACAGGCTTTCATTTAAAAGTAACTGAAACAAACAACACATAAAATTTGTGTGTTTATGGAAATGTTTTTGTTTTCTCATGGCCCCTTGCAGTTTGTGCCTCGTAAATTTTCCTGACCTTATCATGTGTCCATTGTTGCCATTTATTATGGTGACACTCTGTGATTGATCTGCTCCTTTACTCTAATTTTATTTGGTGACACTCCAGGGAACACTGGAGAGCTCTATGAGGGAGATGATAGGAATCTAGTTAAAGAATGGGCAATTGAGTTACTGCCTCACAACAACGAAAGAGCGTTCATTTTCATTTCCCTTTAAGGGATAAGTGTACAACAAAACAGCAGATTTTAGTTTTCATTACATCTTAATGTATCAACAGCAACAGCAAATACTAAACTTCTTAGCAGCCTCAACCTTTGTCAAATGTGCGAAATGTTCTCTGCCACATAGTGTATGTCAAACTCAAGGCCCGCGGGCTTCTTTTACGTAGCCCACCAGAGCTCAACATGCAGGTGGTTGTTTTACATAGACTCCTAATGTAGATATGGATGGATGGTCCATACTAATGTTTAGAGGTTGGTTAAATTCTCCTCTAATACCAATATCACATATGCATGGCATTTTTAATTTGTTTTATTATACAACCAGAAATGTAGAAATAAATCATAGGGAATCTTTATTATACATGTCCTCATGTAATACAAACAGCTGGTTTTATATTTGCTTTGTTTTGGGGGGCATTTACTTTTCTACTTCTTTCCCTTTTTTTCCCCTAATTAAATTACAGTCAATTGATGGCATTTATACACATTACTTTTAAGACACAGACCGTGCCAGAACGGAACAATTCTATGTCAAGTGTTTTTTCCAGGTCAGAAAAAACACTTGACATAGAATCCAACTACGTAGTCTGAGATCATTCGTCGTCCTTCAGCGGGGGATCACTCAGGCTAGGACCCTCACTCGTCACTGCAACATCAGGAGGCATCCAGCTGGAGGAAATTATGATGCAGGAAATCATCTTATTATTCTGCTGACATCATCAGAGGGGGCCAATTAGACGACGGTCTCATCTGTTAGCTCTGGGGCTTAGCTGTGCATCTGTGTTTAGTATCACTGTGAAAATAATTAGGGGTTTAATGAGGATACTATCACCAGCGAGCTCATTGTAGAAGCATAGCTGCATATGTGGAGCGGTTTATACGAGTGTCCTTCACTCAGCTGTCTTTGTTTGGTTCTTAGCTAAATAAAAACAGTGCATCTGTAGCCAGACCACCTAAAAACACCAGCACTTGGTCGTTTTCCAGGAGAATTTTACTGCAACTGGAGATAAGGACGGGTGAAAGCATAATAGTACCAGCTACAGGAAATTGCACTCGAATACTTGGTATCACTGGCATATTGAGGCCCACACTGACATTTGAGAGCCAGCAATTCATCAAAGTCCACCTTAAATAAAATGAGTTATGATATATGTCACGATAGAGATCATGTTTTCAAGGAAGTCGTACTGTATAGGAGACAAGAGAACCATGATGATGATAAATGTTAAAGTCCATGGAAAGTTCCTGTTCTGCTCAAAAGACAACAAACATGCACTCAAACGTAGCTGCATTTTCACAGACATGATAGAATATTTAACAAATCTGATCAACATTTAAAGGACATTAATGCAGTATATTGACTGACAGAGGCGTGTGTTTCATCATTTTTGCAGTTCTGCATCTGCTGACTCTGTGGTCTCAAAGTGCCGGCTTCTTATCATCATGATGTCTATCCAAACGTTAGTGCTGCTGTGGGTAAGTGAAACTGCCCATGTTTCTGTCAGACCTGATGATACTAAGCAGTTGTGCACACTCTCACACTGTATCACATGCCCTTACTCATGCACATCACCTACGTGCACCACATAGGTTTCGTACAGAAGCCTACTTGGCTAACTCCTACATTTGGCACTGAAACCCCTTTGGTTTCTGTGTTGAAGACTTCTGGGTCAATAGGAACGCAGAAGTGAGTAAAGGTTCTTGATATTATTTATCAGAAGAGAGCTGAGTGAGAAATGTTTGATGCGAGATTGATGTCACGTACCTTATTTGGAGAAAGACCTACGGAGCCTTATCCTGCTTGGGAGACGGAGGCTAAATAAAATGTGTTCACACAAAGAGAATGTCAGCATCACTTATACCAAAACGTCCTGTGTGAATAGGCATCTACTCGTGGTTTTAGTTTGAAAAAGAAATTCTTCTTACTGTACTGTGGTACAGTAGATCTGTGGGTCAAATCGACCCAAAAGGAGAGGGTTGTTGCACGAAGTGTGTCAAACAGAAATCACAGTGAACCCTCCAGCTGTGACGATCCCCGTCGAAGGGACAAGCTGAAATCAATGTATCTATGGATCAATGGATTTATACATTTAAACCTCTCCATAATATGGTCTTAGTGCAGTGCCCGATAGAGGTGAGTGATGGTCTTTACTGCGACTGTTTGTTTTTTAACTATATCACATAGAGACAGCCTGAATGGTCATATAAATCACTATGCTGTGGAACTCATAATAATGTCATCAGGTTTAGCATGGCGCTGGAGTCGTCTACTGCGATGTACTTCAGTAATACATCAACATGTGATTAGGCAAAACCTTCTTAACCGCGGGTAATTGGACTCATTATATATATTATATATAATGTATATATATATATATATTATTATATCTTCTGCAAATGACCATAATATCTACATTTATTCATCCGTCCCTTATCAATATTACGTTTCTCTTCTCGGGTCACCAAGCATGACTGGAGCAAACGGTCTGACTTGAGGTTAAATAATCTGTCTTAATGATGATTAACTATCGGACACTGTTGTCAGTTGTACAGAGTCCTGAAAATATATATATATGAGACAGAAAACTAATGATTGTATTGACACAGTCAATGTTGTTGTGGTGGCAATAAATGAATTATTTCTGATGATGATTTTTGATAACAAACAACATCACACAGCATGTTTGCATTGGTCACAGACTTTCCTGTCAAAGCCAGTAGTCAGAAATTCATTTGTTGTTTTTTTAAACTGTGTTGAATTTTCTGCAAAAGGAAAAAGGGAAAAAGAAAAATTGTGAGAAAACAGGAAAAGTTCAACAAATGTATTTTAAGCGCTTATCGTAAATGGGGAGCTTGAGTTTTTTGCTTTTACTGCCAAAAACTCTTATCAGTGTCTGGATAATAAATAAGTTGGAATGTGGATAATGCACCTATTAGGGGTTTGTTTCTAAACAATTAGAACATGAGCCAAAAACAACCACAGATTTATCAGTATGTACAGACCAAAAACATTTAAGGAGGTGGAAAAGTGAATTTTGATCCACGACCAATAAATATTCCCGTAACGTAGAAGGATCAATCAGGTCAGAAATACAAATGAGGGCTGTTCGTTTTTCCTAATATTTGTTCATAGTTTACCTTTAAAGAGCAGTGAATTGAAGCAGACTAATGACTGAAGTCAAAACCTGAGGTAAACACCAGAATAGATTCATGACTTGTCAGATGACTTAATACAGCAATTACAATTATCTCTCTGCAGCCTGATTGTCTGAACACTGAGACGAAACAGCCTAAACACAAAACTCACTTGTCTGCATGGATGTCAGTGCAGTGCTGAGCAGCCGGTGTTGCCAGTGCATGCCACAGACATGACCGTTAACTGTTAACTGTTAACTGATCTTTGAATCACATCCAGAATGAAACAGGAAACTTTAATCACTTCGCTAAAAGCAGGGAAAAAAAAGAACGTGAGGAGTGGGGGACGGAGAGACACGTGATGTAGTTAGAGGGAGCTGCCACTCAAACCTCTGGCGGCAGAATTTGCTAGCTGTGCTTGTGGCACATAACAGCATTGTGTCCTCTCCTCCTGACCATACATAGAATCAGGCACAATCAGGCAGCCGTGGTATAAACACTGACGGGAGACATTTTGGCAGCTGCGTCTGTGATCTAAATGCTAAAAGTATGAAAGGCAACAACGGCTCTTTCTGTAATCTTTTTATAGACAATCTGAGCTTTCTGTTTGGCAGCGTCATTAGTCATGGATGGTGACAGAATGCTCTCCGCGGGTGGTTTTAATGTAGTCTTACACATACAGTATGCATGATCCGGCTGAGTTGTCGTCCACCGTGGCCACTTAAAAAAATCATTTTATTCATCAAACTCTCTGTGTTTGGGGGTTGATCGAACTAGAGTTGGGATCAGTTCCACAAACCAGATAATTTTGCATTGAGACAAGGACTCACACAGCGAATGCCTTGTAATTTAAGAACCTTCAGAGGTTCGACTGTGTCTTATTTAAAGGGATTTTAATGAACTGTGGTTGAAGTGTCAGGGAGACGGACTGTGTTACGTGACAATTATTTTCTGAGGCCAAAAAGTGATGTGACTATGACCATTGTGTTACACTGCTGTCTGATACAATTCTGTCCAGCGGTTAAAAGGTCATGTTTCTTTCTGCTGCTGTTATTCACTGTAAATAGTGACTGGTCTTTAGAAACATTAAGTAAAGGAATGTGACTTACCTCAGATACTTGTAAGATATTTTCAGTCTTTCAACCCTTCAACCCACACTCACGTTCATACCTACGGTCAGTTTAGTCCAATTGTCTACTTTACCTTTATTCTGATATGGTATGATTCTGAACTCTAGGAGGGAGTTGGACCGTAATAATCACTTCCTGTTTTGTTTAGATTCTTTCCTCCTTTCATCATGGTACCACTATTTCCACATACCAATCAATCAGTTTTAGCTGCTTCTTGTTACTGCCTTACAACTGCCTTTGTATGTATTGCCAACTTCCCTTCTGATGCATTATAAATCCTCAGTGCCATTTCCTTGGTGTTGCCTTTCAATTGGAACTGTCTCCACAGAAATCCATTTCTGGTGTTATTGTGTCTCAAGTTCTCTTACTGAGCTCTACATCATGTTTGACATCTTCACATTTATGTTGGCAGGAGCTCACCAGCAATCAGTTACAAGCTGTCGATGCTTCTGAATCACAGTGATAAAACAATATTAAACAGAAAAGCACGACTGACAGTAAATACTGTTTTCGTTGATCTCATTAATACCCTCAGGGGTTTTATTTGTTTTGGTTTTTTGTCATCTGACAGTCATCCAGTATAAAATATTTTTATGACTTCTAATAAAATGTGAACAAATCAGAAATCAAAACGATGATTCATTACTCTGCCAAGGCATCATCAGAAATACAACTATTGTCACTGAAATCTAATACAAATCAATGTGGGCCTTGAATTGTTTGACCCAGCACAGCCATTTGTTAAAAAATAATCACTTTTATCAGAAATATTGCTAATCTGGGACTAAGTTGTTGGCTCTGTACATTTCAAAACTAAGTTTGTGGGGGTTTCTTTGTCTTTTTTTGAGAGCAGACAAGAGAGCGGAGACTTGAAGTTGTCTTTTAATCATGTGTTCAGTGATAGGACTGTGGTAAATTTACAGCCAAAAGCATGACATCATCACACTGTGGGAAATCTCTGGTGTTTTTCTGTTTTTGCATTTTAGTCAAGTCTAATAATAGAGGTTCAAAATGGCTCCTAGAGCCAAACATTAATCCATCACTTGTCGGTCGCTAATTACAGCAAAGTTAAACAACACGCCCTACCTTATAAGGTGTTCTTAAAATCACCTCTGATTCATTATTATACCCATATTGATTACGCTGATTGGAGCGGCTTTTGATCCCATGCAAAATTACATCTCGATAATTTTAGTAATTTCACAAGTTAATAAATCTGAGGATGTGTTGTAACAGTTTCCCTTTTTTTTTTTTTTTTTTAGCTCTCCCGTCCTCCACTCAGCTGTTTGAGTTTACTCTCAATGCCCCCTTTGTGTTGTTTTTTAGCTACAGCTCTCTTCAGAAGAACAGCTCTGCCCACTGCCAAACAGCAGGCAGGCAATGTTGGCTCCCACCGAGTCGACATGGTGAAACAGTTAACAGTGGAAGAATCAGATATTTCCCTCAGGAGTTCGAGGGAACTATCTGACAAAAACAGCTGAAATGGAGTCCGTATCGGACATGAATTCCTCTGGCGAGATAAACACCACTTTAGATGAAGTGGCGATAAAAGTCAACACTTTCATGTCTGCATATGCCACTGTCTGCAAACACAGTTGCATTTGGATTTAAGCCTCAGTCAAACTGTGGGGTTGGAACATCGTCATCATATATCGGTTCTTATCTTTTACATATCAGCCCCTGTTATGTGTTGCCTTTATGGAGGAGGAGGAGGAGAAAAAGCAACTGAGACAGACTCATCATCCTCATCTATCGAGTTGAAGCTACAGTAGAGTCAATCTGAGCAGACGTTGACCCAAACGTATGACCTGGACAGATCACCAGTCACACCTTTGGTCATTTTACATATCATTTTCTTCTTCCAGAGTCTAATTACAGGCTTCATACCAGTAGATCATCTGTGATTTCCTCCACTACTGTATTTTCTACCTACATCCAAGAAAGTTCTTGGAGTTTTTCTTCTTTTTCTCCTCCTGGCAGCTCCACTATCTGTGTACTTTCAGGTCTCTCTTCTTGCCTCTCTAACAGTGTCAACCCTGGCACTTGGCTCCAACCACTCCATCCTGCCTTCACCCTCTTCTTTGCACATGTCCATGTCCATTGCTTTACATATTTGAACCCATATATTTAAACCCACTACATGCGTCACTATCTTTACTCCTTGCATCTTCACTCTTCACATATTCTGTCTTTCTTCTGCTGAAATTGATTCATCTCCTCTGTAGTTTTTATTTCAACCATATGCTAACCCCACATGTTAAGGCCATTGCTTTGTTTGGATTCCAATCTGTGTGTGCCTGCTGCCAGGCGTCACGAAACTCTAATCCAGCTTGATCCTGTTGTAGCCGGAGCTAATCCCAGTCAATTATTCACACTTACATTCACACCAATGGTTAATTATGATTGTGAAACAGGATCGTGACAGGAATGTTCGTTTGTATTCATTGCAATATACAGACAAATGAATGTGAAAGAGTGAAGCCTAATTTGACAATGAACTTCAGAAGACACGCCATGTGTTTTGTTAGGCACAGTTGTTTGATATTTAATCTGATTTAATCACTCTGTTAAAAAGCCCTTTCCGCTCGTGCTTTTTAAAGATTCAGATGAGCCGCAGTGGTGGTCGTGGAGTGTTAGGGGAATGTTTGTCGTTTACAGCAGCAGTGAGTCTAGCTGTCCTGCTAGGCTCCAGTCCACATACATACTCCAATGGTGTGCACTATAGACCGTTACTGTGGGCCTTTTTTTTTTTGTACCTCAGTGGATGCCTGCGTCTCTGAAGTGTAGCCACAGAACTAAATTGGCCCTGCTTAAGATTGTTTGTTTCACTGCAAGCGGATAAAAAAAATCTAAAGTCTTTGACGTGACTGTGTAACCAGCTGCAGCTTCATGCAAATGGACTGTCAGTCCCCTGCAATCTCTCTCCTGAGTGGCATGATTCATATCAGATGCTTCTCGTGAATACCAAATATTTGAGTATTGTTTATAAGTCAAAGTTGATCTAACCCACACCTCCAATCTTATTCTCGGGGTTTGTTAACTCCTGACTCCAATTAACTTTTGTTGATGTCATTA